CATCTGTTGCACCTCCATAAAATACGTGTTCTGTGAAGTTGCTCATACTTTGATGAGCAAACAAAACTGAATTGCATAACATCGCAAAGCAAATCAAAACCATTTGGGGAAAATTGCGATTTTACAACTCATATCTTCTTTTACCTTCCCAGCGCATAGCTCTTATCCTAGTGCCATAAATAACTGATCTCCAAGTAGTTGCTTCTTTGTAATTTTACATCCTCTTGGCAATATAAATCTGCATTCAATGCGCACCGGCATGGGTAGCCGAATATCATTGTAATCGGGCTGCAGAAAAATCTCCTTTCTTTCAATTACTCACTTTTCCCCGTCACACCGTGCATCAGCTCGCTCACTGTCTTTTCTGCACCGCTTACACCATTTCGATAGTCCCTCCGGTAAAATAGACTCGTCTTCTAGCCTCAGGCAAGTGCAATACTCCATGTGTATCAAACGCTAACAGTTTATCACATGTCCCATCGATACGCAATAAAGTGGAGTAGGCAACATTGGCGATTGGCGATTGGCACACATATCTACCCTCCCCTTTCCGCGGAACAAATTTTTTGGGATGACGAGTGCTATATAACAAGTGGACACACAAAACAGAAAAGGAACTTCATCCAGGTAAGATGTTGGTCCATCACATTTTGTGTGGGACAATAGATTACCAAAAATACTACCTATCAAGCGGATGATTGGTGGGTGCTCATTTCCAGGCGACGTAACATACTTAAATTAAAACTCGGCCGGGCTACTGCGAACTGAGCTATTCGACCAAGCGGGCACATCTCAGATAATCGCCGGGGGCAAGCGGCGATGCGATTTATGGGCAGGCGGGCACCGGAAAAATAGTTCGTTGATTTTTTGCGGCCCGCTTGCAGAAATTTGGAAGAAAGTTGGCGAATTTAACGACGAAAGCTTGGAGAACAATCGCGGTTTCTTCATGGATTAGCTGCGGCGCAGTGGCCGCATTCTCGCGGACTTTCCGCGAGAGTATGCAAGAATTTCGGGGGCCGCACGGTCCTTTGTGGAGGACTGCTCAACCCTCAGGTACTTTCCGTTGAGAGAAAGTACCTCAAACTTGGGTAACTAAACCAACGGTGATACCTCTGCCACTCAGATAATCGCCGGGGGCAAGCGGCGATGCGATTTATGGGCAGGCGGGCACCGGAAAAATAGTTCGTTGATTTTCTGCGGCCCGCTTGCAGAAATTTGGAAGAAAGTTGGCGAAATTAAAGACGAAAGCTTGAAGAACAATCGCGGTTTCTTCATGGATTAGCTGCGGCGCAGTGGCCGCATTCTCGCGGACTTTCCGCGAGAATATGCAAAAATTTCGAGGGCCGCACGGTCCTTTGTGGAGGACCGCTCAACCCTCAGGTACTTTCCGTTGAAAGGAAGTACCCCAAACTTGGGTAATAAAACCATCAAAGGCACCTCTGCCACATAGAGTCTCATCTTTTTTCGGCGTACGCCCGAAAATGCCTAAAAAGAGTCCGAGCGCTTGCTGAAAATTTGGCCAGCGCTCGCTGAAGGAAATTATTTGCGGAGCGCTTGCAGGAAATTTTGTATTGCTGCCCGCTGGCAGAAGACGAAAGTACCGCCCGCTGAAGGTTTGGCCACGCCCCAAAATTCTGCTGACCGCCTGCAGAAAAGCGCGAGTTTGCGGACCGCCTGCCCCCGGCGATTATCTGAGCACACAGAGTCTTACCTGCGCTCGACGTACGCCCGAAAATGCCCAAAAAGAGTCCGAGCGCTTGCTGAAAATTTGGCCAGCACTCGCTGAAAGAAATTATTTGCGGAGCGCTTGCAGGAAATTTTGTATTGCTGCCCGCTGGCAGAAGACGAAAGTACCGCCCGCTGAAGGTTTGGCCACGCCCCAAAATTCTGCTGACCGCCTGCAGAAAAGCGCGAGTTTGCGGACCGCTTGCCCCCGCCGATTATCTGAGATATACCGAAAAAGTGCCGGACTCGCCTATCGGCGGAGAGCGTCGAGAAGCTATTCGGCCATGCCTAAACTTAAGCTGCACGTTACCGAACGTGCCGTCGCCCTGCGGCGGAGAGATATAACCCAATTTTGGACGGCTGCCATGGTGATTAAATGTCCCGAGCGTGAAGCGCGTTAGTTGTAAGTTTGGATCGTAAAGGAATTCTACCATGTGTGATATCAAGACTCTACCGAAATTTTTAAGCATTGCTGTTTTCTTGGGTTTCCTTTTGTTTGAGCTGCTATTGGCGGATGATTCCATACTCTCGGACTTTATGCAACCTTTTTCGTTCATGGTAGCACTTAGTGCACCACCTCCATCAAAGTAGTAAAGGGGCTTTTTAGATTGCAAATAGCACGATTTATAGCACGGCTTGCAGGGCTTTACGTGGAATCGTGCTATTTGCATTCTTTATACTAATCATCATGTGCCTAAAAGTGACAAGGCTCGGTACCAGTTAACCACCGAAATCCGGGGTTGTTTTATGCTGCCGTGATTGCAGTGGGCGCAGCATGTTCCGTGAAAAGAATGAAATTTGACAGAAAAAATGAAGTCAAAACCTGTGATTTTCCTAGGCGTCATTCAAGGTGTTTCGGTTTTGAACGGAGTCATTTTCTTTTTACGTGAACACGCCGCCGTTGCTGCAGTCAATGCGGTCAGTTGCGATTAGTCCGCGACTGCGAAACAAACCTTTCGGAAAGAAGCCACCCTTGATTGTCGACTTGTTCCACTACTTCTCACTTGTCTTTTTTGCTTCTGCTGCGCTCACATCTAGACGGTATAAAGGTAAAAGCCCCTCTTTTACATCTAAACGCAATTTAGTATTTCCTTTGTCACTTTCCGCACCCTTCGCTCGAGCGCATAACTTCTTGATCGGAGCCTGACCTACCGGTTTGCTTGTCAGTTCCCCCTCCACATCCACCTTACTCACTTTACATCTATTCCTCTCTTCCCCCCTCCCCCCCCCCCCCCCATCTGTCTGCATTTTCTTCCCTGAGAATGCTGAGAAAAATATGTAAAAAGGACATAAAAAGACTGGGGAGGCAAGCAAAATAAACATCGAATGTGGATCGCTAAGAGGTACTTGCGATGCAGATTGCGCCGTCAAAGAATATTTTGAAGGCTATATAAAAGCCAGGGAAAGATTTATACCGTTCTTTGCTCTTTTGAAAACCTTGACAGTGAAGGTATGATAAATGTGAGTACGAAAAGTTATGTGAGCAGAGATCTTCCAGCTCAGGTGGATAGCTTGAAGTTTCCAGCTTTTGGAAAAAAAAGTTGAGCACGACTTTCATTCACACAATTTTTCGTAATCTCCTAGAAACAATGTGCAACTTGACTCGGTTCTAGCTGTGGCCGGCCTTGGGAAGCAACCATTTTTCTTGAGTAGCCCTATCGTTGAGCATAGGCTAGTTTTTCTGTACAAATTTCTCCACTTGACAAATGTTAAAATGTTAGAAACACAAATTTCATTGGTACGGGTATCGCTAAGGTGTATTGCACTGATCGCGTAATACATTGCACCTATTTTTGAGAATATGCCGGTCGTATGTCAGATGGGCTGAGTTCTCAAGTTCCGAATTTAGTTCAGGAAGTTTTAGCATGCAATACGATTATGGTACCGCTATAAAGAAAGATAAAAAAGTTTTGTTCAGTCGTTCATGTATCTGATATGCCATCTGCAATGTGTACAGTGTGGCTGCGGCCAGTAGCTGGCTACCCTCGGGCACATGCGCAACGCGCAATCGAAGTGCTTTTGCAACGCTTTTCTACCAATTGTGATAGCATTTCGAAGCTGTATGACGGTCTATGAAAAGCGGAAGCGAAGCGGTCTAACGTTTTATGTAAGAAATAGATTTGGTGTAAAAGCGGAACAATGCGATCTATGATAATTCGCATAAGAAATATTCTGTCTATACTTCTTCTGGTTCGATATAATGCCCTAGTGAGTAAAGCTAATATTTTCTAAGAAAACCAGAGAATTGGTTACAAATCTGCAAAATCAGGTACTTCTAATAGAACAGCTCCTTCATCCACTTTTTGTGATTTAGAGCATCTAAGCTGTTAGCCTTTTCATTTGAAGTAAAGTTTGTGATCACTTTGCATACTGAGGAATGAGTCTTCTTGCAATTAGGCATTGGATTCCCTCATCGAACAGCTTACTCTTGCCTTCGCCATCACCGACTGTCAAAACTCGCTCACCGTCTGATCAATAATCAACAGTCAGCTTTTCCTCTTTCGAGGTCTTCAAAAGGAAGCAGTACTTCAAGTAGTTGGAATTACGATTGCGAACTAGTTGCCATTTTATGTAATTGTCTGTAGTATACTAGTAAAGTAGCCTAACTTGGAGCAACCGAACGCACTTTAACTAGAATGTGATAAAAGCACATTAATTGGCTCAATGCATTTAAAAGTACACGGCAATATTAATAGAAGGTGAAACCCCAAGAAGCTGATTTCCCTCTTCTGCTGGTCGGCAAATCGCTTGATTTTGCGCGACAGCACGACGATGCAGTGACATGGGGGAGGAACGAACGCCTCGATTTGGCACCGCCTCCGCGGACTACTGGTCCCAACACGATGTACAACAGTAGGACGAAAAGACCAGCAGCCCGCAGAAGCGGCGCCTAATTGAGGCGTTCGTACCTCTATCCCAATGACATAGGTAGGTGCCAGAGTAAGCGAATATTTTGTTCAGGTGGTCCCGCGCAGAATTGACGTCACTTGGATTGACGCCAGCATGGTGAGTGACGTCCATTCTGCGCGGGACCCCAGCCTGAACAAAATATTCGCTTACTCCGGCACCTACCATAGAGAAACAGAACGGTCGGCAGAACTGAATGCACACGCACGGTGTTTGCGGACCGCTTGGCCGAAATTTTCTCTGTGTAAGTGCAACATTATCTGGAGTTCTAAACCAAATAACTATGGGCCGTTCGTCTAGAAGCACATCGCTGAAAGAGACAGACCGAAGATAGTGGTGAGATCGTAAATGAGTGTTTATTTCAGCTGATGATTTACGTCAAAAAGATGATTGGATCTATAAGCAGTGCTTTTAAACGAGAAATCAGGTTATTCGTCTTTTTCTGATTCCCTTGCGCTTATGTACGAGAATCGTTTTCAGATGCTTCGTGCAGTTTTTTCTCATATTTGTCACGTACGCAATTATATGGATAACATTCTATCTGTATCCCGTTATAGGATTTCAAACCCGGGAAGCTTACGTCGTTACTCCAATGCTATTAGTGTTCAACAGTGGTGTCAATTCGATTATTTTTTTGAGTCTAAACAAGGACGTGAGTGATTAATTTTATACTCAGATAGTAGAGGCAATTCCGGTGCTAAAGGTGAGACCATTCGTTTTGCAGAAACAAGCTTAAGCAAAAAAGCTGTACTTTGTAACTTTCGTTTGACTATTCCGTATCCGCAACTCCGTGTCTGAAGTTCATATATCCTTTATATTAGGTTGGCTTGAAAGCTCTCGAACATTTTCAGATGAAATCTTCTATTTCTCGAAACCTAATGCATGTACATCCGATAGCGATACCATTTCATAGAGCAAATCAAGCTCTACAAGATGGATAGCAAAAGTTTGCACTAGCTTCGATTCATCGCAAGTTTTCCTCCAGAATCTGAGTCATTCAAAGGTTCGAAAAACTAAGACAAATTTATATCTTTCTTCAAATAAATACTACGGATCTCCAAGTTGCTCAATGTACTCATATATACCGTTGTTGTATTTTCTCCTCATTTAGAAATCGAGAAAGCAAAATTTTCATGTTTCTACAAAAACAAAGCTATCCTGTTTTCGCTTATAAAATTGTATATTACAAGCCTTTATAAGTATAACCGTAAATTTTCAGCTTTCTACACGCCCTAGTTTCCGAAAATTACGGAATTGAGCTCTTCTTACTCGGGTGTTCTATGTTAAAATCAATATTTTTCGAAAACTAGGGCCTGCAGAAAGCTGAAAATTTACGGTTATACTTCTAAGGAATTGCACTATACAATTACGTGAGTGAGAACAGCATAGCTTCGTTTTTGTACAAGCATGAAAATTCTCGTTTCCTCGATTTCTAAATGAGGAAAGCAACGGTACATATGTCTGATGTGGTGTGCAATTTACTGAGCAACTTGGAGATCCGTAGGATTTATTTGAACAAAGACACGAATCTTTCCCAATTTTTCGAGCCTTCAGTACGACTCAGATGGAGGCAAGACGCTGGATCGAAGCTGGTGCAAACTGCTAACCATCTTGTAGAGCTTGCTTTGCTCTATGGAATGGTAGCTTTGTCGGATGTACATGCATTGGGTTTTGAGAAATAGAAGATCTCTCTGAAAATGTCCGAAAACTTTCGAGCCAACCTAATAGAAAATTCTGCATCCCGCTGCAACGTACAAATCCATAGTAACTTGCCCGCCGTTAGCGATAATTAGGATCACGAGTATGATGTGGCCGTTGCGACGGCGAGAGGGGGGAGTTTAAAGAGCACCAGCGATGAAAAGGGAATAGAAGAGAGATTGTTCAAAGAGATATTTGTTAGCTAAGGAGAAATCCAAAGGGCAGAATGCATGCTTTAGTGCTCTCTACATACTTACTTACAATAAAATACAGATGGCCGCCTTGTGGCTGGCAAAAGCAAAATGCCAAAGCCATTTGTTTCTGTTCCTCAGACACTCACGATACTCTTGTTTCTCATTGGCTGCTTCTACGTTTTTCAAGTGCGAGATCAGTAACTGATCTCTCAGCTAGTCCATTCGTCCGTTCCACGAACGCATCTTCACATGTTATTGATGGTTACTCGATTGCCTCGAAAAAGCCCACATTGTTGTTTTTATGGTCCAATTGTTGTTCTCCTCATGTTGTGATCAGCCCATCGATGCTTCGCTTTTGCATTATTGCGCTGAGCCATGGAGGGGCATTCTTCCTTTATGTGTACTGCGATGTCCAACAAACGTTATTTGTGTCGAGTCATTTTCAAAAGACTGCGGTCAAGCGCTCTGTGAACTGTCCGTAGAGCGAAATGGCGACAGTGTCGGCTCAGATCTCAGCTGTGTAACAGAGCTTCGGAAAAACAGTGAGACTAACACTTGAATCTTCGAGTCTGGCATTGGTCGGTGGATTCCTTCAGAGGCCCAAAAGTGGACCAAGCTGCTCTTCTTCTCCTGTTATGTTCTTTCCTCAAGTCGTTCTCCATGTTTATCGAACTTCCGAGATACACGCAAGAAGACGTCTCCATAAGAGGGGTGCATCCCAGCTCATTCCTACATCTTCCAAAGAAGGTTCTTCACGAACTGAGTCTTCTTCCGAATCATTCGCAATCCAGTCATCTTCCCCACTTTCCTTAAGTTCCTTTAACATCATTTCTGCTTCGGTGATACTGCTCAAACAGAGAACAATTTCATTCGCAAAACAAAGGTTCGGAAGGAACCTTCCATCAACTCGTATACCTCTCTCGTCCCGATCCAGTAATTTCACGACCCATTGTAAAGCCGCGCTGAACAGTTTCGACGAGATTGCGTCGCCTTGCCGGATCCGCTTCCCAACTGGGATGGTCAGGAGGCGAGGAACAGCTGCATCAGCGTTGTACAGTCCTTGTAACAGTCGGCTAACGTCCTGAGTAAAGTGGGTCCACTCCTTGATCGACTAGCGCGTCAAAGGCTTTATCGTAGTCGACGAAGCTTAGGACGAGAGGCAGTCGGTATACTCCCGGCAGACTCCTATGACCTCAAAACCGTCTGAATGTGGTCCATGCAGCTGTATTCCTTGCGAAATCAGCTTGCTCTTGGGGTTGCGCTTCATCCAGTGTCCTAAATATGCAAGCGAGGAAAAAATTCTCGAAGAGCTTATACAGCACAGCCAGCAGGCATATTCTCAGACAATCGCTGGGGGCAGGCGGTCCAACTCGCGCTTTTTCTGCAAGCGGTGAGCAGAATTTTGGGGCGTGGCCAAACCTTCAGCGAACGGTACTTCCTTTACTGTCTAATGTTCTGCCAGCGGGCAGGAACACAGAATTTTCTGCAAGCGCTCGTCAAATAATCTCCTTCAGTGAGCGCTGGCCAAAATTTCAGCTGGCGCTCGGACGGTTTTTAAGCAGTTTCGGGCATACGCCGAGCAAAGGTGAGACTCTACATGGCAGGTGTCATCGATGGTTCAATTACCTCAAGTTTGAGGTACTTCCTCGCAGCGGAAAGTACCTGAAGGTTGTGCGGTCCTCCACAAAGGACCGTGGCCCTCGAAATTTTTGCCTATTCTCGCGGAAAGTCCGCGAGCCACTGCTCCGAAGCTAATCTATGAGGAAACCGTGAGTGTTCTCCAAGCATTCGTCTAAAATTTCGCTAAAATTCTTCCAAATATCTGCAAGCGGACCGCGAGAAATCAGCGAACTATTTTTCCGGTGCCCGCCCGCCCATAAATCGCATTGCCGCCTACCCCCGGCGATTATCTGAGTTCGGTGGTAGTTTCAAAGATCCTTTCGATTGCCCTTCTTGAGGAGAAAGACGGTCATTGAAGTTATCCACTTGTCGAAAATTCTTTCCTTCTGAAGTCAAGATGTTAGATGCGGCGCCAAAATCCTGTGTAAATGTTGTTCTCCAGCTTTTAGAAGACAGAAATGTGATCCGGTCCTGGAGCCGTGGATGTCTTCACGCTTTAGATAAAAGAAAGTCGGAGTCCAGTCTTCGTTCAAGAATACAGCCGAGTACGTGGTATTAACGGAGGTCTCTTCAGCACTTTTCAAGACCTGAGATCCTCCTTTAGAACAGTTTCGCAATTAGTATTAGCCATCAGACTCGAAAGGAGTTGCATTCGGGCCCTAAGGATCTTCTTTCAAGTAATTTCTTGGTGGCTTTCAAATGCGCTTCAAGTCACTTTCAGAGTCGTTTTCAGAAGTCACTGAGGCTCACTTTCCGAGGCTCCCAATCGTTTCAGAGGCCGGTCATAGTCGCACGTGGGTCCTCCTGGATGGGTCTGCGACAACTCTATGAGCTTCTTCAGGTCGCCGTCACAGCGGCCACTTTTCTTTTTGCAACATTATGGCAAATCTTTTTCCATCTTTTCGACTTTCATACTTTCGCTCGAAGTAGACGGTGAGAGCTTGCGAAAGGATAGAACCAATAGAACCATGAGTGATCGAGCAAGCCCTACGTTCGGATGGCGAGGATTTGCTCGGTTTTTGGATGAGTCGTTTCGCTTGGTGATCCTCAATGCTTTCGTTATTCGCTTCTCATAAAGAAAGAGTTTTTACTGGAAAAGTCGTGTAGCAGAAGAGCATAGGGAGATGACCTACCATCTTTGTTCCGGAGCCCGTACTTGAACTTCCCGATCCTACATCCCCAATTTTCGCGTTAAAGTCGTCCACAACAAACTTGTTGCGGGACTTTTTTCGCGGAATCCTCCAGGTTAAGTTTCATTCATCAGCTGCTGATGCTGACAAGTTGCAGCTAATAATACTAATGGTTTCCCGATTTGGAAGGCGTGTACGTAGAATGCCAGTAGGCGATACGATTAGACAAGTTGGATGATGAATGGGTAGTCAACAAAGCCAACGGCCCGAGGTTTCTTGATGGAACTTTCTCACCACGAACAATGAGGGTTCCACCACTAATCTGACGCATATCTTTCTTCCTGGTATTCGTTTTCTGCAAACCGAGGAGTGTTTGATGTGCTTTGCAGCATTGAGAAGTGAAGCAGTACAATTATCTTGGTGACAATTTTCAAGCATCCAAAGTAAAAGTTTTCTACTCACCGCACTAAAATTACTTCTCATCATTTGACTTGTAAATGCAAAATTTTTTCCGATGTGTGGTTTCTGTAAACCATAACATTTTTTTCACAATAGTTCGCCATCGCCTTGAAATTATGTTAGTGGTTATTGCCTAAGACTTTTGTAAAAGGAGAGGAAGTCGTATGGTTGATACTTCGACTTTACGAGGTTCGTTAAAATACGGTTTGTTGCAAATAAAAATAATGCGACACATTTCGGAAAACTTATGTTAATTCAAAAATCAAGTAAAGTTTTTGTGAAATTCACTTTGATAGCATTCTCTCAAAGGAAACTAACTTTTTTCGGAAAGAAGTATTGCTTCGGGGATGTAGGTGCCAGTCATAACAAGGGTGTGGATGAAGAAAAGAAGACTAACGGTGCATATTTGTAACGAACAGACATTTTCGCCGAATGAACGAATATCGAATAATCGGTTTTTCAAAATTTTTCGAACTGAATATCGAATAACTGATTTTCGAAAATTCTTCGAATGAACGAATATTATTCAACTTTCTTTTTCATTTAATTCGAATTTGAATATTCGAATATTGGCACATTCCAAAATTCGAATGAACGAATACTTGAATAACCGAACTTTGTCGAATATTCGACTAATTTCGAATAAATGTTCGAATATTATTCGAATATTTGTTTGCAATATTCGAATATTCGAAAATATCTTTTAAAACTGCTCGAATGAAGGAATATTCGAACAACCTTTTTTTAAACTCCTCGAATGAACGAATATTCGAATAAGTCATTTTTCGAAATTGTCGAATGAACGAATTATTCGAAAGTTTTCATTTATTCGACTATTCGAATAATCGGATAAATGGACTTTCTCAAATATTCGACTATTCGAAATAATATTAGGTCGTCCCGAAAGTTTTGTCGGTTTTTTCAAACCACTATAAAACCATGCACAATAAACACCTGAATGAGTTTCAACATGCATTCGATGCAGCTTTTTCTTCTCTTTCTTGTGGTTACATTACCGAACCACAATCCTGTATGCTTTCTTTGATAATTGCTGAAATTCTTCACCCGTCATTTTTGTCTGCTCAAAGTTCGGCTAATTTTTAAAGATTTCATTTCAAAGTTTTTAGGAAGTTTAAGTATGATTCTAATAGAGCAATTCTCGGACTACAAGAATATATTTTTAGATCCTCCGAATCTGCTGTTTTTGGGCTGAAAAAAATTATTTCTTAAGAGGTCTCGATTTTTGGCAAAGTCACGAAACACGCAACTGCAGCAGAAACATGAAAACTTCTCAAGTTTTTGCGAATTGCAACATGATTCTTATTGAACACTCTTTATGCAACATTATCCAGTTTAACTTGCTACAAAAAAGCAGCTTTTTAGAATTTTCGGTACTTTTACGTGGCAAACGTAATCAAAAAGCCGCGGATTTTATTAAATAAATAATTATAACGGACTTGATAAACGTGACCCACGTAATCTAAAATGGGTACAATGTAGCCAAAGCTTTGCTCTACATAACAGTTACCAGCGCTTCTTAGAAATATCAGGATAGAAATTTTTAAAATTCACGAAAGGTTTGCCGTTATTGTTGAGCTGCTCAAAAAGCCATGGCGATAACATTGCAAAGACAGGGTAGGTCAGAGAGCAAATACAGCTGTAAGAAAGAGGATAAAAATTTAAATCAAATGGTACCTAGAACGTTTATGGACTGATGTTCTGTGAGTTTTGGTGAGCGATGAAAGAAACCGACAAAACTTTCGGGACAACCTAATATTATTAATATAATATATTTATATTATTATTACTATTCGAAATAATTCATTCGAATAGTCCAATATTTCGAATAAATTATTCGAACACGAATATTCGGTGCTAACAATATAACGGCGCGAGAAGTAACACTAATAATTTTGGACCCGTTAGGTTGTCTTTTGTTTAATGCACACTTTTCCAAGCTCTGTTTGGAAAGCTTACTTGCAAAGGAAACCATTTTTCTTGAAATTTTTTTTTGATATTTGAAAACACGATTATTCTAGTTTCTGATATAGCTTTTATCTTCGCAATTTCAAAATGGAATTCTACGCCTTTGAAGGTGAGTGACTAAATCTCATAATTTCCTTTACCCTCCTTGCCTTATATGAAGAATTATATGATCGGAATCGCTCAAAAATATGCATAAGTATTGCGGAACAAAATAGTAATGAATTTTTGACGAATTCGGAGTCGAGAAATCTTTACTCAAACCTGGCTGATCGCTGAAGCACATCTATGCACAATATCTTAGGCGAGCAGCACTCGAAAAGTTCGCTTTTTATAGCTAGAATACATTTAGTAAACTAACGATAGAAAAACTTTAGGACTTCTTCGTTTTTTTATAAGGGAGAACAAAATTAGAAACTCCAAGAAAGCAGTTTTTTGCCTTTTCCAAAATGCTGGAAAAATTGGGTACTTTTGATACCGTCATCTATTCTCGTGCAAAAAAACCTAAAATCAAAAGTTCACTCCTTTGCTGAACTGACCATCGGCTGTACAACGCGTAAGTTTGCGACATCTTAGAACATTTAAGAGCAACTTAAGCTCTCTCAAACTAAAGGGTTTCCAGAAAAATGTTCGAAAACTTTTGGGGTAAGAAATCTTTGCTGGTGTGGCTACGATGCAACAAAAGTGTGCGTTTTAGAGCCAAAGGTTTGCTAACTGCGAAGTCTTTCTTTATTGCGCTCAGAAAGATGGTTCTGGAAAAGAATTATCTTGATCTGATAATAAGCAGTTGTAGTGTAGCCTTGAAGTGTACAGAATCTTTTTCTTATTTATCTCTAATAATATTACCATATTCTTTTACTTTCAGATAATTGTGGCAGCTCGCAAGCTGCTCCAGAAGAACACCGTGGTACATATAATTACCCTTACCTGACTTTTCCTAATTTTAAACGGCATGTGTCAGAGACCGGCGAAATCATTGTTGACTTCTTTAGCCTTACTTCCACTTTATGCCAGAATAATTTTCTCCTGCAATCCAGAACAATTCCACACACAATTCAACACAAGTATACCGATTATATGAGTCCTTAAGTTCTGAATATCACAAATCAGAAACACTTTGTCAATACTATGACCATGTTCACCTGTTAGCGAATCTTCGAGACAGGTCAAGTCAGTAGAACCGTGCACTTATACCATGTTTGTTACTAAATTCGTCAATGTTTGTTATTCTCATACTTTGTCTCAGATATCTACCTCTTATTGTAAAGCTGTTTGTTATTCATTTACCAAAATTTGTTATCGAATACTGAACCATGCAACCACTATATTGAAGCATAAATTGTCGAGAGGCATATTGAGTTACACAAAAATAAGCCTCAAAACTCAACTCATCCCACCGGATTGTTATCAGGAATATAAAAAACCAGTGGGTTATCTCTGCTTCGCAGAGGTTCGCACTGGCTCTACTATCCGTATGCCTTCTTAATCTATTAGGTTGGCTAGAAAGTTCTTGCGTAATTCAAACAAAATTCAATAACTTTTCAATGACTAAATCTAAATTCACAATCTTGTTCTCTAAAAATATTAGAAGGCCTGCGCTCCAAGATGGATGTTTAAGCGCAAGATTTCATGAGCTAGTCCCCGAGAACGAAGCTCTCAAATATGAGACTTCAAAATTTGCAATTTTGAGTTTGGTGCCAGAAAATCGCAGAGTGCCGCTAGCTAGCCGAAAAAAATCTGCAAAAATTACTTACACTGCACAAGTCCATAAGTTACTTTGGAAGGCTTTGATCTTGCACGGTGAAGCAAAAACAAAAAATTCGTGAAATAGTCATTTTGCGGAAAAAATCCACTCATTACCGCAGTTTTTCGGCAAAAACTATTTTTTACACTCCAAAAAACGTCTCAAAGTTCTAAATAGGCAACATGTCTTATTTCTGGTTGCAAACTGTGTTTTTGTGGAAAAATTACATCGATAAGGGGATTTATCCTGTAAAATGACAAATTCCACAAATTTTTTGTTTTCGCATTCCCATGCGAGTTTGAAGCCTGCTAAAATAACGTATGGGCTTTTGCAGTGTAAGTAATTTTCACAGATTTTTTTCGGCTAGCTAGCAATACTCTGCGATTTTCTGGCACCAAACTCAAAATTGCAAAGTTTGAAGTCCCAAATTTGAGAGCTTCGTTCTCGGGGACTGGATCATGAAATGTCGCGCTTAAACATCCATCTTGGAGCGCAGGCCTTCTAATATTTTTAGAGAACAAGACTGTGAATTTAGGTTTAGTCATTGAAAAGTTATTGAATTTTGTTTGAATTACGCAAGAACTTTCTAGCCAACCTAACATATACCAACTCGAAATCTGTGAGAATGTTCGTTAAGTTGTAGTGCGTTGAAACCAGCGATTGAGCTGAAACTTTGCACAAGTATGTTTTCAACCCCGGCGGTGGTTTAGAGCTATTTTCGCTGTGCCTTTCTATCGATTTATTGATTTGTCTACTCAAATCCAAGGTGAAAGCATGAATTATCGAATCATTTTCCTAAGTAGAAGGAAGGGCGATACAGACCATGTGAACTTTGCGGTGAGGAGGATGTGCTCTCACGATGCCAGGCGGCTGAGGAAAGACATTTTCACGTCGGGAGCACCGCTACAGGATCGAAGCAAGAGCAGGGAAGAAGAACAGGGACAGCGCGAGCATGAAGTAAGGCAACCAAGGAAAAGAGTGTAAGTCATTGGAAGGAGAGGGCCAAATTTTCTTAGGTTGGAAACTTTACTACTACTGTGCTTTGCCGATCTAATCTGAACCCACACTCAGGGTGAGACCGGGGACGGCAGCTAGTGACCACACTAGAAGCAATTGCTCATTCTCAAAACTTTTCCATGTAAGACCGGTGGTTTTGGGAGAGAATATTTTTCTGCAGAAGACCAAATGCGAATTCGAATGTATTTCATTACTTAGCTGGCTTAACCGCCCGGCCCTGTCAAAACACTGTAATAAAGGTCCGGTCCCATTCCTATCCCTGTACAGCCTTTTCCTGTGCCCACTTCTACCATTTCCCGTTCCTTGTTTGTTTTCGAAATCAGCTTGCTCGATTACCCCCCTGTGCCAACTCCCAGCCCTTCAGCTTAGTGAAAAAAATCGAAAAATCGATAAAAATAATAGGTAATACCAAAAACTAATATTGTATTCGTAATCAGCATGCTCGATTACCCCCTATGCTAACTCCCAGCCTTGTAGTCAAACTTTGCAAAAAACTGATAAAAAGTAATCGATAATTCTGAAAACTAATATTGTTTTTGGAATCGCCATGCTCGCTTATCCCCCTATGCCAACTCCCAGCCCCGTAGGTGAACTCTGCAAAATTCGATGAAATCGGCATCGATCGATCGAAAAGTAGCCTATGACACGCTCCCTGCCCCCTGAAGTGTATGTGTGCCAAGTTTGGTCTGGATAGGTTCAAAAATGAAAATTTCTATTCGGAACATACGTACTGACATACATACAGACATACATACAAACAAACAGACATTCAGCTTCATATACCCTCAATATCATCCCATATGTCTTCCCTCAACATGACGTGGATTACGTGGCTTGATGAGGCGCCGCCTTGCCTCGGGCTTGCGCCACGTTGCGTGCGCATTTTCGGCGTGATGTGGCAACAAGAAGGACGTGGAAAAGCCTGCGCCACGTTGTGTTGAGCGCCACGTCGCGCCAAATGATGCGCTCGCAACGTGGCGCGAGCCCGAGGCGAGGCGGCGCCTCATCAAGCCACGTAGTCGTCATGTTGAGGGAAGACATATGGGATGATATCGAGGGTATAAGATTCGTCACCTCCGCTGGAGGTTCGCAGTGGCTCTGCTATCCGTATGATGATTTTGAAACCCACCGCGCGAGGCTGTACATCACAAATGAATTGTTAACAACTGTTCATTGAAACATCTCCATGGATCGGTATCTCGAGAAAGAAAACTTTTTTCCCGAGGAACAAATACGAATTTGATTAGATTACTGAATTTATCTTGGCTTAATAGTCGTCCTAAAGATATAGTCATTTTGGACAACATTTCCGTTTCCGTGCAAGTGCTTTTCAGCTTTATAAGTGGAACCTTACCAAATCGAGTTTCTACAAGATCACTACTTTGGACTGTTTTCGCAGAAAAGAAAACTTTTTGAGCACTTTTTGAGCTAGAATTCGTGGAGCGCAGGTTTACTTGCCAGGCAAATCATGACTTTGCAAAGAGTTGAATTTGTGACCTAGTTTTGCGCGCCAAAAGCCGTGTGGACCCGTTTGACACAAAAATACACAAGTCACTTGCGCATTTTCTATAACCATATAAGTAATTTTCAAAAATTTCGCGACCCATTTTGCTTTATTATAAATCATGATAGATTCTTTCCACGAGCTTTCTATATAAGCATCTATTTGAATTCGATCGAGGGTCTACGAATGTTGGTGGGATTTAGGGGCATAATTGGGGTTCAAAACTTATTTAGGGTTACTTACAGTATGCCAGGTGTGCAGAGCGCGGGGTTTTCGAGAGACAAATTTTGGTAGGATCCGGTTCACGAGTCCGATTACCCGCCAAAGGCGGGGGGCGGGAAGTTTTCGAAGGCCTCCGAAAATGCTCAACATAGGGATTCAAGCGATTGTCTGAGTACTCTTTGACAAGTTAGCACCTTTCATCACTCTCAGTTGACCGCCCATAAACGATATCCCGGTTAGTAGAGGGCCGCAGCACTAGCCTTAGGCGCACCTAAGCTGCATCGAAATGGCTCATGATAGATCAATGAAGAATATGGGAGCTGCCTGTAACGAGTAGTCGTTTGCTTAACATGAAAGGGTCGTCTAGCCTGTTTTTTTTCTTGGTTAAGGATGCAAACAAAGCATTGAGCCGAAATACTGCTTGTGTTTTTACTGTCAAAAATGACAAGTATCATGTGCCAATAATCAAAAAGAAGGATCTTATTCACAAAAACATTCAAGATGTTAGCGGAGATAGCGGTGAGATACACAAGGGAAAGAGTTTAGAAAAGGGAAGCAACGATGAAAAATGTCTCCACATCTTTGAAGGTGATCTATGGCTTTCTGTCAGACTCATAACCCGTACCTGTATCATGTTTTATGCGTTCGAAGAATTTGTAAAAGGATAAAATGCAGATACCTAAGTTAACTTTACGTTGCTCGTAGAAATTAACGATGATATCTTGGCCAAATGTTGCATTTACAGCAATGCGATGGCTTTACTTCGACGCTATGTCCTTGTGTACGCTATCATTGCCCTGTGTTTACTGCGATTATTCTCGAGATTTCTAAAACCCACAATAATTCTGCAGAGTACGACTTTCTAATAGCACTGTATTATAGCCTTGGATATATTAAGCTGCTGCATAAGTTCTGTCCGATTTTTTTGCCTTGTGTTTGAAGCAGCCGTTCTAGGAAATTTTCAGTCGTAATGCGATATTACTTGTACCATTGAAAAGCATTTGCCTACTCTTTTTAACACATATCATATTTTAATGAAATCCACAGTCTGACGAGATAGCACGCCGATGATCTCCAGATGGTCGAGGCACGATCTCAGTTAGAAAAAAGTTCTTGCAAGAAAATTTCCACAATATGTTTTTCAAGTCAAGTCCTTGCGTTGGTCACGGAATAACGGTAAAACAGTTTAGGATATGCACAAACTCACTTTCATGCGAAAAAAAAGTTTTGCTAGTAAAATTTGTTGTTGAAGGATAATTATTTGTATAAAAGTTCTACAAGCAATGACTTTCCATAAATAGAGGCTGGAAAGTGCAAGAACGTCATCGCTCCCAGTGTACGCCATGGCGTGCAACAGATAAGTGACCAGATAAGTGATGTACGCCATTGCTCCCACTGGGAGCCATGGGACTCATTTGGGGCGATGGGACTCATCCCCGGATCTTGTACCTGAGGCCAGCTAAGCAACTCAATTTTTTTCTGTAGACACTAGACTGCGGTCCTTGCTTGTGCTTCAGATTTGAGCCGAATCGGGCTTCTCTAAAAGAAGCTACAATTTTTTTCAAAAAATCACTTTTTATTTTCAAAATTCGATAAAACGTGCTTAAGCAATGCAGAAACATTTTAAAAGATTCTGTAAGTGTTCTCCTTATGTATGCTATTCGATACCAACTTTTGGTGAATTATGGGCGATTTTTAAAAAATCGATTTTTTCTAAAATTAGCAAAAAGTCGGTTTTTCAGATTTCGGGTTACGGTAAAGCTAGGGGTCTGCAATTTTGCACACATACATCTAGTCCGTGCCTGACTACACCATAATTTTTTCAGAATTCTAGGATCATTCTAGAGCGAGTTCTGAAAAACCCGGTTCAAAACCGCGCCATATCTCGAGAATGGGCGGAGCTGAGGGGGCGGGGCTAATACCAAAAAATTCTCCAGGTCAAACTGGTCCGGGGGGAACTTGGCCCGAGGGGCAGGGGTTGATGGGGGGCCCGGTACGGCGGGGTAAAGATTCCTGGTTGAGCCTATTCAATTTTCCACTGGGTCTCAGCCAATAAATAAGCGATTTTGCAATATATTGTATCGTCGTGCAATATATTGCACAGCCTATAATGGTGGATTTTCGCTGGTCAACGCGAATACATTGGGAGTGAAAAAATCACTTATTACTATGTAAGTGACAGACCAAAATTTCGAAAAAATTTTAAAAAATCGGGAAAAATTGGGGAATCCTTGGCAGGAATAGGGAAAAGAGGTCTAAGACATGCAAAGACCATATTTAAGGTCTTAAGGTGTTTTTTAAGATGTTTGAGGGGTTCTCAAGAAATTTCAAGTGCTGATATGTTGCGAAAATTCAAAAAAAAAATCCTAGAAATTTTTAGAAGGTCTGGAAAAATAGGTGAGTGTCACAATGACAAAGTAAAAGTGTTTGAGGGATGTAAGTGTCCTGAATAAGAGATCTAAGGTTTTTTAAAGATAATTTTGAAGTGGGTTTCGTGTTGAGTACAGGGCTTTGATCGCTGGCAAATGTGAAAAATACGTCGTTTTGAAAAAGTTTTGGAACAGCCTATAAAGCATGAATGAATTTGAGTAAGGTAAGTAGAGTTTTTAAGTTGAGAAAAATGATGTTTCTGAAAAGTTTCGATGTTTCCATGCTTCGAAAAAATTCCTGGATTCTCTGGGGTATCGGAGAAATTCGAAGCATATTCTAGCAAGTAGAAAACGACACACTTTGAAACTTATACTGATGGGGAATTTTAAAAATTGGAATAAATAAAGTTTTTGAGGAATAGGAGAGCATTCAGTTTAAGTAAACAATGTGTAAGTGACGTTATAGATTCTTTTATCCGTAACCCTCGAAAGACATAGAATACATGAAAAATAAGATAAAATACATAAAATACATACATGCGTGTATATATAGATATAAACTACAATATGCAATTGATGCAGCATAAATTTGAAATATTGAAAGACATAGAATACATGAAAATTAAAACAAAATACATAAAATATATACAAGCGTGCATATATATATATAGATATAGATATAAACTACAATATGCAATTAATGCAACATAAATTAAAAATATCATAGTTCGCTCTCATCGGAGCTACCAATTACTATTCGTGGCACCTTCTTGGATTTTTTAGATTGTGTTTGCGACTTCTTTTCCTCGATTTCTTTCTTGACGTTGCTCTTCCTAGGACGTTTTTTTGGTGACTCTTTGACGGCCGGTGGCGGTGACGCTGACCTTTGTCGTGTCGGATCTGCAACAAATTTGACAATCGTAAACGACGAAATTACCAGTGTTTGTTAATCAGCGGCGAGTTGATTCCCTAGAGCTAGCGCTTAACATACCAGTGCGAGAAGAAGGGCCGGGTTGCTCTTCCAACACATTTGTAGGATGATCTTCTTCACTGTCAGATGAAAGAGAAGACACATCGTCGTCAAAATCCTCTAACTCAAGCATATCTGCGACCACATCAGGTACAGCTGTTCTACGACGACTTTCCAAACTGATTTAAAGGGATTATGTCCAGCGAGTATTTACGTAATCATGATAACACTTACTTTGCAAGTTTGAACATGTCGCGCACCCGCTGGACTGCATCTTGATTCTCTGCTTCCTGCCTTTGTGCAACCTGCCGCACCTTTACATAACCATAGGCGCAACTGGTCATGTAAGCATCTTGATATCTTGCCAACTGTATCCTTTTCGAATGCGCTTTAATTCAAGATTTGAAAAGAAGGTATTGCTACTAATATTCTCTGATAAACAATTTGCTTTTTGATCAAAGAGTTATGACTCATTGACTTTATGGAGTATAAAGTGATGAGAAATCAATCAGATATTTGCGTATGAAACAGGACACGCGAACACATTACCGATTTTTATCAAACACGTAGCCATCCGCAAACGCGTATACTTATTTATAATGCGGCAATTTTCAAAGCACTATTTTTAGGTTACATCACACAAAGCATTGCCATCGAAAATACTCATATAAAAATATTTGAATTTTTTGCATGCGTGTGTTGAGCATAAGCTTTTGCGTAATATAGAAAGATAAAATAGCCATTGGACACAGGCAGACAAACTTAATACCACTTTAACTAGATAAACCTACATGCAAGTTGCGTCATGTCCTCATCCGCTATGCCAAGTTGTTCGCACTTTTTACGGTAGAAATCCTCATACTGTCCAGTAGCAATAGCGTGTCTTGTCTGAATTGAGATAGGACGATTGGATGTCGAAAAAAATTGTAAAATAACATGCTTACCGCGTTACATGAAACATTCAATCCTTTGTAGCCGCTATCGCGTAGGAATTGTTTCATTATGTGCGAGACATTGTAACGTTCTACGGTACTTCCTTTGTACTGCAGAAAAAATGGCGAGGTCGGTTCCATCATTCCTTCCAGATGATTCATTCGTATTACGCTGAATAACTATTACTAGAGTTGATCCTAAGCAAGTTTTGAGCAGCTTACAAATCCCTCAATTTTAAATAGTAATCGATCCATTTCTTCGATTTTTTGTCCAGTACAAAAAATTGCCCTCCGTAGGCCGTTTTGTGGTAAGAAGCTCGAACTTTTGGATAAGGGTAGGAGCCTACCTGAAACCTGCGCCTATATTCATACAATATGAGCTTTTATGCCCCAAAAATTACCACAAACTACTACGTTTGAGCTTACCCAAACTTCCTCCTTTTTTCCGGGTTCCCAATCCACTTCTAGGCGCTTCAATCCCGTTACGTCGGTGCCCTGCCCGAATCCTGCTGCAGCCCTTTTCTTCGCTTCAAACGCTACTATGCTTCCGTACATCATTTTGTAGATCACTTCATTCCTACTCGTGTTACAATGCACTACGTACGAAAACACTGCTCTAAACGGCAAAAGCTCATGTAGACTAAATTGTCAAACGTTTACCAACCCCATCAGGTAATTGTACTGCGCAGGATTTAGCGTTCCGTCATGCTCAAACTTGCGCATAAGTTTTTCGATGGCCTTATCTACCTCTTTATGGTCAACAACTGCTCTTGTTATACAATACATTAATGCCTCCTGCAATGATGGCTAGATATACAATCATTCCTACAGTAGATATTATGAAATTACCTCTTTTTCTTGCGGCACAATGCCCTTGAGCGACGTATTTTGCTTCTCTTCCGTATTGTATAGCGACCACTCATGAATAATACGTCTGCGAAATAATTCGAATAGGTCTCGTTGCCGCTGAGATCCCGCCCCTTAATATTTCTTAGGGACTTGAGATTTACAAATTTATGAAGTAAAAATTTACTTTTTTCTAGTCCTATTGATAAGAATTTCCCAAAAGCAGACAGCGATTCTAATATCAAGTGTCTTAATGAGAGACTAATGCCTTCTTCTCTCAAACGCTTCATATACGGCATAATAATTTCGCCCGCATATATGGCGTCGTCAACCGTTATCGTCTGTCCCATTCTAAATCTCTTGATATTCTGTATGGCTGAGAAGGCAGAAAACGTCATTTCAACATGAATATCTATTCAACAAATGTTTTTCCAAGCTTTATTGCAAAAGAAGCTTTATGGCATTAACTTGAATATATTCTGTTAACATGTCGCTACGCTTACCTCTGTCGCGATCTCATAACAATTAGCATGAATCGATCAATGATATGTGTGTAGCTGTAAGTGCTACTAGTAGTCTTTCTTTTGTACGCCATAGTTTTCGGCTAAAGAAATATCGTAATACTGTTATTGATTGTAGAAAAAATTGTTAAAAATTTGAACGTTACCATTCTTTCCAGAATATATTGTTGAAATTGTTGTAGAAGTGGATGTGAACTTCTAACAACTTTTCGCCAGAACTTAAGATTTCTATCCAATTTTAATGCTATAATTGCATATACTTCATACTCTTAAGCAACACTAATGCAAAATTTGAAAGCTTACCTTCACTATTTTTTTGCGAAACCTTATGCTCCTGAGTGAAGTAATTTGGATCATAAGTGTCGTATTCGTGGCAAAACATATACTGAACTTTTGGTTTTCTTTTAAATATGTCAGCCACTGCTGGACCTCCTGAATAAATGCATGTATGTAATGATTTGTAATGAAAGAAAATGCAAATGGAAGAAGAATGTAGGTTTTGTATTGACCTGACCTGTATACAGTGTGTCACCAAAAGACTCGTAAAGTAGATGCCTCTCCACACGCGGTGCTCTAAAGGTTGGAGGTATTTTCGAAAGCTCAGTCATATGCTCTTCTTCTTCTTCTTCAGTGCTGGCGCTATCCTTGCGCAATTGACTGGTTTCCGACACCTCTTCCCGCACCACATCTGCTTTCAGTTGTGGTCGAGCCATCGCGACGGATGGCTCGCCTCTTTTAACCTTTTGTTTAATTAAGGAAAAAGAGGTCGCTTCGATCAAAGGTGACTCTGAAGGTTCATCGTCGAAGTGCAATTGCTGCAATAAAATTTTTGCGATATTCCTTCTGCTGGCTCTCAATTTCTAGATACCGAGCCTTCCTCTGCCTGTTGCACTCGCGGCTGTGCTAGGCTCGTCCGTTCTCCTACTTCCGCTTGTGCTTCTAGATTTATATCTCGTCGCCTAGCGTTGAACTACAAAAACACATTTCATGAAAATGGCAAAATGTGATCACTAGATATTCTTTGTACTTACGGCTTCTTTAACCATCATCTCCACTTCATCTCTCCGTACATATTTGTACCGATCAATACGAGTGTCTTCATGGCCCTAAAATGTTACCTATTTCGCGAGTTTTGGATAGAAAATGAGGGCACTAGTCAAACATGTAGACCTACACCGTCTGTTGGTATGCCACATTTTCTAAGTTGTTGAACAAAATCGTGATATATGTTCCATTCACCCGATGTAATCGGCCTTCTCACATCGGAGAGATGTATTCGTGCCCTACCCATATATTGTATGATTCCATGGCTCAGCTGCATAATGATCTGAATAAATTTCATAATAATATAGTAGATCAAGGCAGCTTATATCAGGCACGCACCTTATAATCCATGGAATCTTTCGCAACAAGCTCACTATGAGCTCTAACAAGATGTGTGGAAAGCCTATATTCCCCCTGCTTTCCGCAAATCACGCAAAAATTTGCGCCCTCATTCGCATTTTTTGGGTAAAAGATGTCTGCAAAGTTTTCACTACAGCAAGCCTACATCGAAGCTATAATGCTCCACGTACCTTCTGGCAAATTTTCGGGTAAGTATCTTATGATATGTTCGCTCTTCATTCTGTTTAAATTTGCCTTAGCTTCATCCCCGATCTTTACAACTTTGTTGTACTTGGTAGATGAACGTATGCGGGATGCCATAATCGCGAGTTGCTGAGTGAATACTAATGCTATAATAAAGCATAAATTTTATTAACCATAGGAGAATATTTGTTAACTTGCAGAGGTAGGATGATTAGTAAACTTTTTCTATGCCATTCACACAAAAACACTGAAAAAATTTATTATTGTTACTCAAAACTATGTACATGCAACAATACTTTTAGGTTCTTTTAGCGATTCTAAAATCAAATTAACCTTCTGCTCCCACCGCTTATTTAGCCTATGCAACTGACGATGGTAATAAAGGATGGCAAAAATGACAACAATAAACACGACAAACAAGAGAGAAATGGATAAACTGCTATTTCCCCAATTCGCCACATCTTCGTCTGGAAAATAGTTATCACGGTTACTGCCCTGGTCGTGTTGTGTTGGTCCGATAGGTAAACGATTTGACTAAAATTTAGAATGAGCACGTGTGATCGCAGATTATGTAGTCATATAGCACATTCACCCACCGGTAAAGCTATCGTCAAATCCATACTCATGTTTCCTGCACTGACTCTTGATACTACTTTCGTCGAGCCAATATGAAGTTCGGCTCCACGTGGTACCTCCACTACGATCACAGGGTTCTTAATCTCAAGCGATTCAAACGCATCAGCGCCTGCTTTCTTGTAATACATGCGCTTCATGCGTGTTAAAACCACCACTGTCTTTAACAATGGCTCGATCAGCGTAAACTAAAAGTTGGTTTATAACCACTTTGGAATGAAGCTTGAGCAAGCCAAAACTCACTTCCTCATCGCTGGAATTGTGCGTAAGCACACTGCAGCTATGCCGATTGCTAATATGCAAGCCGCAAGTGCTTTGCGGTCTTGTCTTGCATAGGAGAATCGACGAAAGTGTGCTGCATTCATCGATGTTGCTAACTTCCTCTAACGTGCTCAAATTGCTCACTACCATTGACGATGGCACTATGTAATGAGCGCCAATAATATAACTTGAGTAGGTTTTCATATCCTCACTAAATCCACCGAGTGGGACCACTCGAGTGAGGTAACCTATGCTCTCTTCCATAGTGACCGGGTAGCAGATCTGAACTTTTTCAACTCAGCCTATAAGAGAGTGGAGGGAGGGGAAAAGTACCGGCTTACTTTTACTTCAATGACGCGTCTGTTCATTGAAAGTACCGTCGCTCGCAATGTTTTACCAGCAACGTCGTACCTACTTCTAAGCACAGACGCATTGAATCGCTTCGAACCCATTAGATCTGCTATGGCGGATAGTAGATTGCCCTCACCATGATGGCTGATCAGACGATCCGTTACACGACCGCGGTCAAATAGCCCAGTAAGAGCGTCTTCTACCGCCGTTAATAATTGTGTTCTGATTTGCGCAAACACAAATTCAAAGCGAATCCTAAAAATTTGCACAGAGATATTTCTTTACTTATACGCTTTTTGAAAACCAGCATGCACCAGTTGCTACTCACATAGAAGTTTTCACTTCCACAATTTCCGCCAAATCATGCAATTGCTTTTGCATCTCAAGAACCTGCTTCACCAATCGCTGTAATTATAAGTTGGTGCTATAAAGCTAGAAAATCCATTAACGCACACCTTTTGCTGATGCTCCTCCTCCGAATACTTATAGATCCAGCTTTTGATTTCACGGTATGCAAGCTCCCCAAGACCAATTCCTATCCCAAAAGCGACGACTCCGAACCCAGGAAAAAACTCGAGTTGTCCCGTACTGAAGCAGGTGTGTAATTTTAAATATCTTTGACTGTTTCATAAGTCTCTTCTTCAATTATTTACTGCAGTAAGCCACTTATTTCTTTTGAAAATTTGAGTATCCCTCTGTAGCACAAAACAAGCTCTAGAAGATACCTTTCGAACATTCGTACCATATGTGAACCACATAAATTTTGAAAACGACGAAAGTCTAGAAATGCCCAAAAAATCGAAAAGTTCAGAGCTTCGCCCAAAAAAAATCATGCGGACTTCTCACTATGGGCATGTAATTCCTACATCAAATATATTACAATCAGTTTACACAGTAAACTGTAATATATCAGTCAAATATATTACAGTTGCTGTGTTTTTCCATTTAAAAATGGACAAAATAATAATATGTGCTTTTGTTAAAGTTACGCTCGAGTGTTCCTACATCGACATACCTATAGTATAAATTAAATCTTTATGAATGCATAAACTTGGGACTTTTATGAGCTTTCAAAAAACCAATTTTGTACAGAAAACTCTGAAAAGCGACATTTTTGGTTATTCGTATCTCTGGCTGCACTTTGCTTCTCGGCTTCCAATCAAAAAGAAATCAGCAGCTGTGCATATAAAAGTCTTAAAGTTTTATATGGAGCGCAAAGGCGTGAGCAAGTTAGAGGTCCTTAAGACTTATCTGGGGAAGACTGTTGCTCCGCAACTTTTGCCTCAAACTCAACGCAGATCATGCTTCTCACGCTGCTTTTCATATCGATATTCGTTTCAGCTCCTCTAATATGAAAAGGTAAGAGATTTTCGTTACTATGAAAAAACTTATGGGGCGCCTAATAGTTGTCATAAAGCGTACCTGTAATGAGGCGTGACGGCTCTATATTTTTTGAATTCTGCCTCCATTTCTCGCAGGTGGAGTTTTTTTGCGTCCTCCTTCATCACCGTATATACCTGAGTACATTTCAAAGCTTGTGTCATCAACTTTTTTTCAAAAGAGTAGAAATTAAAATCCTACTTTCATTCTCATCTCCTCAATAGGGGTAAGGCTGATGTTTAGCGATTTTTCAAATGGTTCCAGTACTCCATCGAACATTCTTCCATCTGTGTAGCTCGAGTAATCTGCGAGAATAATAGACTACAGTTATGCGCTTTGATTATATACATTCTGCGTAGCGCCTCAGAACTGATTTACAAATAAATTCCAGGGCTAAATCACATAATATACTATGATAATTTCAACACATGTGCAGTTTAGCTTATTTGCAGTTACTATAAGGTTGATAAGCGATTGAAATGCAGACTCTTTTGAAACTTGTTAATTATAGTAGTAGTATTATGCTTTGTATCAGGTTGGAATACAAGTTTTGCAAAGCTTCTCATAACTTCTTCGAATGTGGCGCGCCCAAACTTTAGCAATATGTAGACTGTAGCGTGTGCTACAATTAAGCGTAAACAGTTTGATATTTGGACACGGTAAAAAATCATAAGCATCTTTTCAAAACTGGTGAATTTCAAAAGTTTATGGGGTTATGGGCAAAAATGAAGCCATTAGCAGCCTGTGTGCACAATGATCCGAAATTGCGTACGAATTATTGCCAGGGTTAGCCCAATTGGTTCCTGAGAATATAAATAGAACTTCAATAAAAATGGGGATTTGGCATATTTGTGAAGTTGACGGGCCTCTTTACGCAAGGCTGCTGGAAACAAGGATCAAGAACGGAACCTCAGAATTTGCCGAGAATTTGCGTTGCGGGGGGGTATTTGATATTTAACTGGCGAACACGAATATCATTTTCGTCTGTTGAATTAAGGCCTCTTTTCTTGTTCAAAACCCCACACCATAAATTTGCATTTTACAGAAAAGCCCCCTACCATTTAGTTTAAGCATTGTTTTCGTGATCAGGAAGCCGGATAACCTCCTCCTGTGGCAAATTTCAATCAAATCTGTATTAACTTATGTTTTCTCCCCTTATAACATATAACTCGTAACCCTCCCTGCAAAGTCAGTTGATAGAACAGCAGCTGCGCTTGTAGCTTAAACCATAATTCATCATCTACATAATGTCAATTATTACACCATTTCAAAGAAAAGAATGTTGTTGGAAGAGATGCAAAACTTAGTTTCCAGCCTAATAAATGTACACGGCTAAAGCCAACCTCTTAACCCAAGCAGTTCAACCAAAATGCATACCTAACAAGACGATGCCACATTCACGTTCTTCCTTTGCAGCAAATCCAACCACCTCACCATGAATTCCATTATCATGAAAAAGCTTCAAAGTTGCGTTGTCTAGCACTGGTAGCCCTGTCGCTGAGGCGTCGCCAAGCTTGGAGGCAAGGAAGACTCCTTCACATTTATTTAGGAAACAGGCAATAAAGATGCAGAGTATAGGATCAAATAGAAAAGTCATTTGATATCTAAAAAAAGCAGATGAAAGCAAAAAATCAAAAGTATATGAACGCTTTCAAAAACACGAAGAGGACACATTAAGGGAGTCCTTGATCATTTCAATAGAAACTCGAAGGGAAGCATCATAGTACGGGGCCTTAAAGTGACATTTCATTTTACAACAGCCCTCCCAAGCACTAACCGATATTCTTTTCACATGTTCAATGGGATAAGAGTGTTGTGAAGATCCAAATCCTATCGCAAGTAATGCATTCAAACTATCCAATACTATCTATCTAATCCTTTGTAATATGTCCAAACTTCGCAAGGCAGAAAAACTTGCTGAACATGATAGCGATTAATAACTTGGAAAATCATATTCGTAATTAGCGCACTCATTTCTTTCCAAACACAAAGCTAGCAAAAACTGATACTATCGATAAGGACATTTTTCAATTTGATTCGCATTCTCACCTACACCTCTGCAAGACTCACAGCACCTGAGCTCCAAATTTGTAAGATAACGATAAAATGGACAAAGATGTCTAAACCAACAACCGTAATCTAGGTCATCACTCATAAGTTCCCGAATTCCAATTTTCTAGCCGAAAATTTGCAAGAAATCAAAAAAATTGATGATTAAAATGGTTTAGTTGCATGACAACAATCATCCCTTGACACAATATGCAGCTCCCCAAAATAGACTTTGAAAAAAACCGATAAAGTCCATAATGAGAATATCATAGATATTAGTGACAATAATTACCTCTATAACCAAGTAGATTTCATCGAGCTTCTCGGCGTAAACTTTAGAAACAATCGATAAAAACGATAATAAGAATATCATAGTTATGATCGGTAACAATAATTACCCCTATAAACCAAGTTGCAGCTTCCCAGCATGAGAAATGCAAAAAATCGATGAAATCGATACCAAGAATGTCATGATTATAGTCGGTAACAATAATTACCCTTATAAAGCAAGTTGCAGCTCCCCAGTGTGTACTTTGATAAAATCAATAAAATCGATAATAAGAATATCATAAATATAATCAGTGACAATAATTACTCCTACAGGATGTCCCAAAAGTCTTTAATGCTAATAATTCCTTAGCCGTAACTATACAATGCAACAGTGACGCATGAAATTCAGCAGGAATCTTGTGAAGAGCCTACAAAATAACAAGGTATAAAGGTACACTCAGATTTCGAAAAACCCTCATTTTGCTTTCACACAAGCCCTCCCACTCTCGCGGAACCCATGCACCATGGCAGACAGGTAGTTGACGTCGAGAATGTCTCACATCTTCTGAAGCCAGCGTTTTAGACTACCCAAAATTTAGTGTGGAACAGAGCAAGCTTTGCTTTTTACGACTGTTCACAAATAGAAGTCAAGGGCTTCTAAGTCGCCCATTATAAACACATAGATCTGAGAAGCATGTCTGCGAGATCTAACAAAAGTGTCAAAATATACCAATCAAGATTTTGAGAACATCAGAAAAACAACGACAACCATGGTGTACACAAAGTGACTTTGCGACGATATTTCAGGAAAAAGTGCAGACCTTAGAGCCGAAATTAGTAACCTTCTCGATTTTTGTATTCGGGAACTTTTTCTTCTCATAGGCATGGCACTACTTTAAATGTCTGTATCTTAATTCTACAGTAATGAACAGAAACTAAATTTTGCACTGCTGAGAAAGAGTGAAGCTAGCGCTACAATGTGCAACTAAAGATTCTGCGAGAGCTTCAAAGGTAAAAGAGCTATATACGTCTAATTACGGGGTACATCTACACTAAGTTGTCCTCAAATCGTTTGCTCCTAGAACAATATCTTGAGAATGTACAGCGCAAACGGTATGATTTTCTTGAGGAATACAACAAGTCGACGATGTACTCATACGCAAAAATCCAATGAAAAGCGAAGACTACTAACAAAGTTTTTACGTTGGAAAATTAGGCTTAAAGACATTTGGGACACCCTGTATAAACCAAGTTGCAGCTTCCCAGCATGAGAAATGCAAAAAATCGATAAAGTCGATAACAAGAATATCATAGTTATGATCAGTAACAATAATTACCCTTACAAAACAAGTTGCAGCTCCCCAGTGTAAACTTTGAAAAAAAATCGATAAAATCGATAACAAGAATATCATAGTTATGATCAGTAACAATATTTACCCCTATAAACTAAGTTGCAGCTAACCAGCGTAAACTTTGCAAAAAATCGATAAAATCGAAGAATATCATAGCTACCCAGCATGAAGTTTGCAAAAGTTGATAGGCTCAGTTATAGATAATAGACGCTAAGTTTTGACGCACGAGAATTAGGTAATGGAATGCGTATTGAGGTTCAAGACATATCGGGCAATTGGGAATTATGATTTTCAGTTTGCGAAAGAATAGCTCTTGAATGATATGAGAAAAGTCTAATTTCACTTACCACTCAAAATTTTAATAGTTGTAGATATTCCTCATACATTGAGTGATGATATGGAAAAAAAGATTGAGGAATGTACGTTACGACGAATGTATGACCAGCAATCTATGCAAGGAAAGAAAAATGGAATTCAAAGATTAGTACCACAAAATTCGAAAAAAAATTGCTAGAGTCGATAGTAAAATATCATAGTTATGATCGGTAATAATAATTACCCCATAAACCAAGTTGCAGCTCCTCAGCGTAAACTTTGCAAAAAATCGATAAAGTCGATAGTAAAATATCATAGTTATGATCGGTAACAATAATTACCCCCATAAACCAAGTTGCAGCTTCCCAGCGTGAGAAATGCAAAAAATCGATGAAATCGATACCAAGAATGTCATGATTATGATCGGTAACAATAAATATCTTTATGAAGCATGTTGCAGCTTCCCAACGTAAACTTTGCAAAAAATTGATAAAATCGATAACAAGAATACCATAGTTATAATCAGTGAGAATAATTACCCCTATTAACTAAGTTGCAGCTAACCAGCGTGAAATTTGCAAAAAATCAATAAAATTGATAACAAGAATATCATAGTTATAATCACTGAAAATATTTACCCTCATAAACTATCAAGGGAACCGTGCGGACTCGAAGCCTTTTCCAACGAAACGCATATACGTTTGCAGGTCCTAGCACCAACTTCAAAACAGCGATCCGTATCTCCAAGCGATCTTGTGTGGCAAGATATGAGGTTTCGAACTCCATGAGATCGCTCATTCAACGCAAGTATGCGCGGCCGTCCTTAACACGTAGTGCCGGCATAGCGCAGTGGCAAGTGGTTGGACTCATAATCTTTGAGGTCTAAGTTCGAATCTTTTTCTCGGCATCAGTTTTGCATTTGTCTCCTTTTGTTTTTAGTAATAAAGTGATCTTCGTAGCATTATCAAAATAATATTTATTGCAAGAATACAACTGAAGCTGAACATGATAGAGACTACTTTTTAGGAGACCTTCGCAATTGTACTGATTTTGTCAGACATTTGAAAGTCTGTTCTTCTTATTAAGGCTGAAGCTCTGCGTTGCCCTAACTTGTATTAATGTCTTTTGCTGGTGATAGTGTTCTTTTTCAGATCAGCGCAATCTTTTCGGTGAACATACGACTGGCTAATTTTTGAAATCTCCAAAAGCCGTATTTTTGCAATAAATATTGTTCCTGATGATGCTAGTACGATCAGCTTATCACTAAAAACAAATGGAGACAAATGCAAAAATGATGGCGAGAAAAGGACACGATCCTAGGCCTCAAAGATTATGGGTCTAACCACCTGCCACTGCGCTATGCCGCCACTATGTGTTAAGTGGCGGCCGCGCATACTTGTGCTGAGCGCGCGATCTCATGGAGAACCCTCTTATCTTGCCACACAGGACCGCTTGACAGATATGGATCGCTGTTTTGTAAGTTGCTAGGACCTGCAAACGTATATGCGTTTCGTTGGAAAAGGTCACTTCGAGTCCGCACGGTTCCCTTGTAAGTTGCAGCTAACTAGCGCGAACTTTGCAAAAAATCGATAAAATCGATATAAGAGTATCATAGTTATAATCAGCAACAATAATTACCCCTATAAACTAAGTTGCAGCTAACCAGCGTGAACTTTGCAAAAAATCGATAAAATCGATATAAGAGTATCATAGTTATAATCAGCAACAATAATTACCCCTATAAACTAAGTTGCAACTAACCAGCGTGAACTTTGCAAAAAATCGATAAAATCGATAATAAGAATATCATAGTTATAATCAGTGAAAATATTCACCCTCATAAACTATCAAGGGAACCGTGTGGACTCGAAGTGGCCTTTTCCAATGAAACGCATATACGTTTGCAGGTCCTGGCACGCAACCTATAAAACAGCGATCCGTATCTCCCAAGCGATCCTGTGTGGCAAGATATGAGGGCTCGAACTCCATGAGACCACGCATTCAACGCAAGTATGCGAGGCCGTCCTCAACACGGCGGCATAGCGCAGTGGCAAGTTTTTTTTCGGTAAACATACGACTGACTAATTTTTGAAATCTAAAAAGCCGTATTTTTGCAATAAATATTGTTTCTGATGATGCTAGTACGATCAGCTTATCACTAAAAACAAAAAAAGACAAATGCAAAAATGATGCCGAGAAAAGGACTCGAACCTAAACCTCAAAGATTACGAGTCTAACCACTTGCCACTGCGCCATGCCGTCACCGTTCGTTAAGGACGGCCGCGCATACTTGTGAACACGCGATCTCATGGAGTTCGAACCCTCATATCTTGCCACGCAGGACCGCTTCACAGATACGGATCGCTGTTTTGTAAGTTGCTAGGACCTGCAAACGTATATGCGTCTCGCTGGAAAAGGTCTCCTCGAGTCCGCACGGTTCCCTTGTAAGTTGCAGCTAACTAGCGCGAACTTTGCAAAAAATCGTTAAAATCGATAATAAGGATATCATAGTTATAATCAGCAACAATAATTACCCCTATAAACTATACTTGGGTAATTCGAGAATTTTTCATCGAATGAATGAATATCGAATAAATTCGAAAAGGAAAAATTTCGAATAAACGAATATCGAATAAATTCGGAAAATCAAAAATATCGAATGAATGAATTTCGAATAAATTCGGAAAATCAAAAATATCGAATGAATGAATATCGAATATATTCGAACATTGAAAGTCGAATTTCGAATAAATATTCGAATGATTTATCGATTAACTGAAGCAATCACATCTCAAACTTTCCGACATATCTGGCTAGAGCCGATCCAATCATAATCAGCCCCTAGTATCCCCATACCAACTCCTAGCTCAAAATTTTCCAAAAATTGCTGAAATCGATAAAATAGATTTCGGTTTCAATCAGCATCCTCGTTTACCCCCTATACTAACTCCCAAGCTCGTAGGTCGAGATTTTCCAAAAATCGATAAACATAATCAGCACCCTCACTTACCCCCTTGTACCAACTCTCAGCCCCGCAGCTCAAACTTCCCCAAAAATCGATAAAGTCGGTCGGTCGGCATTTAGTCTATAAATCAGCAAAAAGTCATATTTTACCCATTATGGACGATCTAAAAAGCAGTCGATATAAATTTTTATGCTGTGCCCAAAAGATTCTTCTTCAGATGGTCTGAAAGAGACTGATGTACACCAGAATTAACTTTATTTCTTATCAGCATCAACAATGTAAAAGCAAAGGGCTTGCTCTACTTTCTACATCAATTGAAATCCACATATGATTTTTTTACTGTCGCAAGCAGTCGGAAGAATGCTACTCTCCATACAGTTCAATGGTATAACGGTTGCAAAAGATGCATTACCGAATTTTGCGAAAAAAAAACGCGGACGAACTGAGCTTGATACTCAGCAGTTGGCTTTGAAACAAAGTCGAATAATCTGAATACGGAGTCATTCGAATACGAATTCGAATAAACATTCGAATAAAACATTCGAATAAAATCTATTCGAAACCCCGTTTCTTGATTATTCGAGTTTTCGAATAATATTCGAAACCTCGTTTTTTGACTATTCGAGTTTTCGAATTTTATTCGAAACCCTGTTTTTTGATTATTCGAGTTTCGAATATTATTCGAAAATGGAAGAACTCCGAATATCGAATTTCGAATACGAATATATTCGAATGTTTTATTCGAATGATCGAATTTCTATTCGATTCGGACCCAAGTATACTATAAACTAAGTTGCAGCTAACCAGCGTGAACTTTGCAAAAAAATCGATAAAATCGATATAAGTGTATCATAGTTATAATCAGCAACAATAATTACCCCTATAAACTAAGTTGCAGCTAACCAGCGTAAACTTTGCAAAAAATCGATAAAATCGATATAAGAGTATCATAGTTATAATCAGCAACAATAATTACCCCTATAAACTAATTTGCAGCTAACCAGCGTGAACTTTGCAAAAAATCGATAAAATCGATATAAGAGTATCATAGTTATAATCAGCAACAATAATTACCCCTATAAACTAAGTTGCAGCTAACCAGCGTAAACTTTGCAAAAAATCGATAAAATCGATATAAGAGTATCATAATTATAATCAGCAACAATAATTACCCCTATAAACTAAGTTGCAGCTAACCAGCGTGAACTTTGCAAAAAATCGATAAAATCGATATAAGAGTATCATAGTTATAATCAGCAACAATAATTACCCCTATAAACTAAGTTGCAACTAACCAGCGTGAACTTTGCAAAAAATCGATAAAATCGATATAAGAGTATCATAGTTATAATCAGCAACAATAATTACCCCTATAAACTAAGTTGCAGCTAACCAGCGTGAACTTTGCAAAAAATCGATAAAATCGAAGAATATCATAGCTACCCATGAAGTTTGCCAAAAGTTGATAGGCTCAGTTATAGATAATAGACGCTAAGTTTTGACGCATGAGAATTAGGTAATGAAATGCGTATTGAAGTTCAAGACATGTCAGGCAATTGGGAATTATGATATTCAGTTTGCGAAAGAATAATTCTTGATTGATATGAGAAAAGTCTAATTTCACTTACCACTCACAATTTTAATAGTTGTAGATATTTTTCATACATTGAGTGATGATATGGAAAAAAGATTGAGAAATGTACGTTACGACGAATGTATGACCAGCAATCTATGCAAGGAAAGAAAAATGGAATTCAAAGATTAGTACCACAAAATTCCGTAGTGAAAGGCATAGCCAAGATTCAAGACAAGATGTTCAGGTGAAAATCATAATTTTTCGCTCACAAAACAGTAACTCTCAGGTGATTGTAGAAAAGTCTCGTTTCTTTTTCTTACCGCCTAAAATTCTGATAGTAGTGGATACTTTTTCGCTCATTTAGTGATGATGTAGAAAAAAAATTGAAGAAATGAACCGTTGGCACAAATTGTTGTACCGGCGAACTATGCAAGCTAGAAGGGAAAGAAAAATTGATCTCAAAGCTTCTTACCATCTTGCATTTGCGAATTTCGGCATTTATGGAATAGCAAAATTAAGATTTCCGCTGCTTGAGTTCGAATGGAAAAAGCAAATCCAGGATACATAATAAACTCCTAAAATGCTATGAAGAGCGTACAAAAGACCAAATCAAAATGAGTTTGAGTAAAAAGTAACCTACCTCGTTGAGGTTTTGAGATAGAATGACATTCTAATATCTCGTATCTTCGCTAATAATGTTATACTTTATCTTTCCTTTTCTATTCATTGATATGCTATCGTAGAAATCTATCATGGACAGGTTATCATATTTCAGTATCTCCCTGTATGTACATGATATCCTATCGCGCGCTGTCTTCAAAGAGTCCGCAGCCGGACAGTCCAATAATGAGGTTATGCGATAAGCTTCCGCTAACTATTTTCCACGAAGTTTTACAGGTGTAATCGAATTTTGACATTTGTGCAGTTGCGACTGATTTCACATTATCGATTGAATATCCTTTACAATCTTCCAGAATGAGCGCTTGCACATTGACTCTTCAAGAACTCCTAGTTGATCATGCCAGTTCAAATTTATACATGCATAAACAAAATTCGGTAGTTTTTAAATCTGTCAGTCACTGGCACGTATGGCTCAATAGCAAGTGTCGCTACCAACAAGAAAAACTATTTGGAGTTCGATTCCTTATGTGTTTGTCAGATTTGCATCTCATTATTGATTAGAAAATTTAGTGTTAAACGCAAATGAGTGTCTTCTTCCTGTGACGTTGCAAAAATTCCTAACAAAAAATCCTGAAC